GTTCAGCAGCCCTTACAATTGTACTCAATTCTCTAATTTTGCTTTTTTTTTTTTTATTGAGATAGCATCTCATTGTGAAGCCAAGGTTATCTTGACCCCCTCCCCTCCATCTCACTCCCTGAGTGCTGGGATTCTAGGGGGTGTCACCAAGCCTGGCATAGTTCTGACTTCTCTTGAAAGGCGAATCTGTGCCCTGGATGTTATGTACATGTAGATGTGACCTACTAAAGTGGCTTAGTGAGAATTCTTGTCAGTGCCCAGGCAGCAAGTTTGGTGAATGGTCTGGAAATTTAAAAAGAAATAGAACACTAAAAAAATAACACTGATTTTGTCCACAAACATGAATTACTTATAGACTGTTTTGTCTCATTTCCGCTGTCAGCAATGGCGGTGATGGTTACAATCTGAATTTCTGAGTTGTGGGTCCTCACGAACCCAGAAGTAGAGTTTATCATGTCTAAGCCCGGAGGACACTCCCTTTGGTTCACAGAGCTTTGTAACTTTGTCTCTCTCAGCATCTGGTTAGAATGACCTCATCACACAGGTCAGACATGCAGGCCTGGGGCTGCCTGTCCAAACTCTCCTTTCAGGAATTAGCAGTCAGGTATGGGATAGGGACTGACTGGTCCAAGGTCTCCAAGAGAGGGCCTAGCAAGGGAAGACCACCCTAATGACCTTTGGTATAGGATTACCCCAGAGGGAAGGAATGCCACCCCCCACAAATGTCTGGATTCCGGCTCATCCTTGTCCACCCTGGGAGAATATCAGTTTGCTTGGAAACAGCCAGAACACTAGGGCCCCAGTATGTTGCTAGACACAAGCCCAGTCTTAATGGGGGGAACCCAGGCTTGGGGTAGCAGAATTCTAGGAGGGGAAGCTGGTACACACACGTCTTCCTGCTCAGGACTGTGGTACCATGGGCAACATTCCCAAGGTGAGATTGTATTACAGGAAAATAGTGAAGATGTGTTACTAAGTCATTGGAGCCCTTGTCAGCTGACTTTGAGTTGGACAAAAGGAGGACTGTGCTCGGTGGGCCTGCCCTAACCAGGTAAGTTCTCTAAGAGAGGGTCTGACGGTCAGAGGTGTGTGTGTGGGGAGGATGTGTGCTCTTCAGGCTTTGCAATAGCAGCCTGCCATGTGAGAGAGGCCTATCCGGGCATCTGTCACCCCAAAAGCTTTGAACAGCCAAAAGGAATGAAGGCCTCAGTCCCTCCATCCCAAAGAACTAAAAGGGTTCTGTTAACAGCAGCTGAACACTGAAGAGCGGTCCTGGTTACCTTATTTGATGTGGGAAGACCCACACCTATCGTGGGCAGCACCTTCTGGTAGCAGCCCATATACAAAGAGCATGGCAGAAGGAAGACAACTTGGCTTTTACCCACTCAACCGTCCCTCTTGCTGCCTCTGAGTTGATTCCTTCGCTGATATCAGAACCAGCGTTGCCAGCCTTCTACTGTGGACTAAGGACCAGCAGTTCTTCAGAAACCTTCCAGATTTGCGGTACCACACCGAGACCGCTGAGCAACCCAGCCTCATGAACTGATGTGGGTTTTTGGCCTCCTTAGTAAGAGACAATCACAGCGGGAGTGCAGCCATCCCCATGAGCCAAACACCTACTGGGTTTCAGTCTACATCAGCCGTGGGAGTGGTTAAAACGGGGAGGTCGGAATGTTGCATTTCCAGAGTCTAATTGCAATTGACCTGGCGTGATCTTTAGCCTTAAAAACAGTCATTTCTTGCCCACCTCTGCGTCAGACCAAACACCTTGCTACTAGAGAGACCTAATACACCGACAACAGATAAAGTACTTTTGAAACCTTGAAAGAACTCTAGCAATCAAAGGGCTAAAAATGCTGTCAGATAAATCTGAAGCCTATAGTTGGGATTCCCCCATCTTCTTCTTCTTTTTTTTAATATTTATTTATTTATTTTGTACACAATGTTAGTTTCCTTGTCTGCCTACATGCCAGAAGAGGGCCTCAGACATCATTATAGATGGCTGTAAGCCACCATGTGGTTGCTGGGAATTGAACTCAGGACCTCTGGAAGAACAGTCAGTTTTCTTAACCTCTGAGCCATCTCTCCAGCCCGGATTCCCCCATCTTCCTTCAACCGCCTTCTTAATGCTTCTGTCAGTGTATTTTAGAATTGCCTTCCCCGACAACTCTCTTTGTTCTGTTGTTTTCAGACTCCATGGAAACGCTTCCATGTTGTTAAGCACGGACTTGGTAACCGAAACTTGTGGTCCCTGGGCCCATGATCACTCAGATTTTGGCTCTCAAATAAACTGTCTCTTACTTTCTTTGAGGCGAGAACTGTGTTTTTGTGTTGACATTCTGTTCCTCTAGAGAGGAACAGTCAGTCAAAGAACGAGTACTTTACCTGCTGGGCCACCCTCCCAGGCTTTTACCTGATGTCTCCCTGGCTGACAGATAACCTTGCTGAAAATCATCACTAAAGCTTCAAAGGCCTCTCTCCTGCCCCCAGCCCTAACGCTAAGAATGCCTGTATGTGACATCCCAGTCCTGTGATGGAACTTCCCTGCCCTGCCACCACCCCATCTGATGCTCCTCTAAATGTCACTGGCAAATACGTTGATGTCTGACTTTCTTCTCTCCTGTAGCTTTAAAAGTTCATGTCGCCTCTTTTATAGAGAAAATGCTATTCCCGGTGGGTGACTTGTGTCTGTTTTCCTGGACCAGAGTTGGTCACATTGGGCTGAGAATAAACTTTAGTTTTGTTTGCTCATTTAATTATTTATTCATCCAGTGAGACAGGATCTTGCCTAAAGTCTGAGGATGTCTTAGAGTTTGGCACATACCTCAAGTGGGCCAAAAACTCTTGCTGACAGGAAAAACATAGCTGTCACCTCAAAGGGAATAAAAGACAGTTCATTTTGAAGCCGAACCTGAGTGTCCGTGGCCTGGGAAACATGAATCTAGGTGATCCCAGGTGCCATGTTCTTATATGGAAGCAGTTTTGTGGAGTTTTTATAGTGCAGTGGTTTGAATCAGAATGGCCCCCATAACATCATAGCTTTGAATGCTTAGTCACCAGGGACTGGAACTGTTTGGGAAGGATGAGGAGGTGTGGCCTTTTTGGAGGAAGTGTCACTGCGGGTGAGTTTTGTGGTTTGAAAAGCTCACCCCAGGTCTGGTATCTTTCTCTTTGCCTGTTGCCTGTGGATCAGGATATAAAACTCTCTGCTTCTGCTCCAGGACCATGTCTGCCTGCTCCCTATCATGATGATCATGGACTAACCTTGTGAAACTGAAAGCAAGTCCCCAGTTACATGATTTCTTTTTAGAAGAGTTGCCTTGGTCATGGTGTCTCTGCACAGCAATAGAACGGTGACTAAGACAGATAGTAACAGAACAAAGAGAGTTATAAAGCAAGGCATTTAAAAACTGCATTGGTGCAAACATCAGAGAGGCAGGTTAGACAAAGATGGGGAATCTCTGTCATTAGACTTTGGATACTACCTGATGATATTCTTAGCTTCTGGGTCCAGGATGCTGCTGGTTTGATGAGATTCTGAACAGTTTTTAGTTTTTACCTATTAGTGATAAGATGCTAGGTCTGATACAAGGAGCCGGGCAAAGCATGGCTACTCATAGGGATAGAGCTAGCCTGAGAAGAGGTTCTCAGCCCCAGACCTGCACCTTTCCAGCCTCCCCCCAGCAGCTAATCAGCCAATTGTCTTTGCAGACACAGCCCCTTTCAGGAGTTTTGCGCACAATCTCTATCCTCTTGCCTCCCCCTTCCCAAGTGTGATGTCTGCCTTTTCTTCCTGTAAAGCAGAGCTGCTGTTCTAAGTGGACACTGTGAGGATCCAGACCAGGGCAGGCCGTGACACCTGCCGCGACCCCTCCCTGCTCATAGACATCACAGGCTTCCCCGCTCAGGGCATTTCCTACAGATCTCTAGCTAAGAACTTCCAGAAGGGGCACATCAAAGGGCCAGCTGTGGCTGTGGTGGTCACACATCCACTTCCTCTCCAGCTTCCTCGTCTCTTGCAGGGGACTCTGGGTGCTTAGCTGCTATGCCACGGAACCTTCCCGATCTTCAGGACCTATAAGTAGGGACTGTTCTGTGGGCCAGATTCCACCTCAGAGTCCTCTGCTCCTGTCTGTCATGTTATTGTTATCAGCCTTGGGGGTACCTAGCCAGCCTGAGCCCCAGGAAGTCTGGTCACCCATCCTTAATGAGCCAAACTAAAAGTGGGAAGCCGAAAAAGGAGACTTATTCAATGCGTCCACATTGGGAGGAAGGGAAAAAAGAGCCAGCTGAAGGAAGAGGCACGCACATCTTCACTCCACACCAGGAGGGCAGAAGCAGCTCTTTCCAATCTGGGATACTATCTAGGTGCAGGGGCTCAGAGGCCTAATCAGAGAGGGAGTGGGGTGTCTGGTCTTCAAGGCAGTGGACCAGGAGTGTGTCCTAAAGGGACAGAGTGACTTTGAGATCTGTGGGAAGGAAAGCTTCTTGGGAACCTGAGACAGCTGCGCTCCCGTTCATAGTGCTGAGTTCCCCATTGCTACATGCTTGGGGAACCCAAGGTAGAAATTAAAGATAGTTCTGAGCACAGAGAGAACTAACTATTGACCCAGGATTCCAGGCTGACCCTGGGAGAACTGATTCCTACATTTCTCCAGCCTAGAGTTTCTCCTGGGGATGTGCTAGCCCTACCTGGGCAATTACCATCCCCAGATTCTGGCCCCTGGCCCTGCCCACCTGGGATGCCTCCCCAGACTTGAGCAGTTTGTATAAAGAGTTAAGAAGTGAGCTCAAGCAGCCACAGAGCTGTTATCCAAGTCAGCGATGCTGTCGGGTGTAAGGAGCCTTGACCGGTGCGACCTGGAAACGGCTGAAATTCTGCCTTGCAGCTGGGTGAGGCGAGTAGAGAACCAGAACGTGACTTCTAGCCTACTCCAGCCCAGGTGATCATGTGATCCTGTGGGGACTTTGCACTGGGATTTACAGGAAGAGCAGAGGTCTGACCTGCAGCTTGGGGCCTTGGCAGGAGAGGTGGCCTTCCTACTTCCTTTGCTCTGCCGCTGGTTGTCCAGTGGTACACGGCTCCTCCCATCCTGCCCCCGCGGGGCCCTGACCAGTCAGTCCACCCAGCACCTAAGGGAGGCATAGCCAGGGGGAAGAAGGAGGGAGAAAGGAGAGCCAGCTGGGGTCCTGCAGGATGATGGTCTGTTGAAATCCTCAAGGTGAACAGGTGAGCCATTGTTCTTAGTGTGCTTTGCAGAGTGTTGTGTGTGTGTGTGTGCACGCGTGCGTGTCTGTATACATGCTTGCAAATATGTATTGCTGTGTTCTCAGGAGCTTAATCAGAGGCAGAGTTGAAACAATTCACTTATTGTGTTTGTTCACGGCCCAGTGTCCTTGTTTGTATCACAGGTGACTACTGAGTTCATACTTTGGGAAGGAAATTCCATTTGAATTTTCCTTGTACATAAGCTGCCAGCATGAGGAGGTGCCTTCTAAGGAGGCCTTTTCAGACGGCAGCGGAGGCTCCAGCAATAACAGGGGAGCTTGGCAGACTTTCTTCCAAAACTTCTTTCTAATCTGCAGCTTGCTCTTTCTCTCCTATCAAATGCCACATTGTTCAGACTTTCAGTGAGGCCGGAATGAACAGCTTGGAGGGTTTGGCTAAGGAGGACGGGAGTGCCACCTCCCTCGACTCCCTCCTTCCTTGGATGTTTTCTCTTTGGTTGAAGAGAGGCAGGCTTGTGACAGCCCAAGAAGCAGCAAGCCAGGATGCAAAGAGACTGCTAGTCTGAGCCGGGCAGCCATCGCCTTCAGAAAGATCTGATTCTGGAGGAGGGGGCATGTCCCACACTTCCACCTTTCTCTCCCTCCAGAGAGTTCCAGCTGCAGTTGTCGGAAGCTCGCAACACACAGTCAGTCCAGAAGTGGTATGAAAGCATCTACTGCAGTCTTATCTATCACAGGGAAAAGTAATTAATGCCAGAAAGAAAAAATCGGGTAATAGGGAAATGAACCGTGAAAGGGAGGTCATTTGTAGGAATCTGACAAAGCCGTGTGGATACTGCATTTGATGTTATGGCCAAGTTTTATGATTTAAGGGCAGAGTATATGATCACATTAAATCTCAGGATTGTTTATTTAGCTGTATTTTTGTTTGTTGTTGTTTTGTTTTTTTTGAGATAGGGTCTTAGTACGTAGCCCAGAAAAACTTGAAATTTGAGGCGATCCCCTGCATCAGCAGCCTGGGTGCTGGGATTATAGGCTTACAACACATTAGCATTGATTTGGAGGTGCAAAAGCAGAGTTCCCCTGTACCACTGCTGAGGCTAATGGCGCATCGTGCGACTCTATAGGCAGCTAGGATCGAGTCAGTGCCTTGGGAGTCTCCAAGAGCATAAAAACAGCAGGTTCCAGCTCCAGGCTGTGTCTTTGCCTTGGAGAAGCTGCCGGGCCTTTGTCCCGTGGAGGTGGTGCCAGGCTCTTGGACTTCCAGCTCAGCTTTGGCAGGTGTCTTTGTGCAGGAACAGGTGGACTCAGAGCACATACCTGCCCTGCTTCTGTCTGGAGCGCCCTGGCAGCTGCACCCTCAACAGCCCTATCTGAGCCATGTGCAGGTTGGCCCCACAGTGACCCATGAAAGTCCTTCGGTGCTGCTGGCAGCTCTGTCTCACTTTCTACAAGTACACCAGGCGCTCTTCCAAGGAGCCTGTGGAATGGGAGTGTGGCTGATATGAGAGCCCGGGGGCAGGAAGCACACTGATTCAGTTAGCGTCTGCAGAGACACTTCCGAGACACTTCCGGGTTCGTTCAGGAAAGAGTAAGCGCCTGTTGCTCCCTCAGTGGCTTCAGCTCCCCGAGTGGCCATGACATGCTCCCTGAAGGCAATGTGGCTTCAGGGTAGTGGTCAGAACCCAGGTGAACCGCTGCTAAGATAAGTATACTTATTCCCCTGCCGAGGTCCTTTCAGCCAAGGGGAAATAGGGAGTGAGGCTTCATAATGGCGGGCCCGTGGTCTATGTTGTTGGTTTTTGGAGGTGGAGACTTGGTGGAAAAGGTAGGGGGCAGGAATGACATGAGGTCATTCCTGGTGGCAGTGAGCAGGACCAGAGCTTTAGCAAGGAAAAGACTTGACCTGTTTGATGTGGAGTTGACCGATGGCTCCTGGCAGGGTCTGAACTCCAAGGCAGTGTGTCCCTCCTGGTTCCCATTCAGGGTTTGGGACTCTGGCTTGTCCTTAGGCTCAGAGGGTGGAGTTTCTGGGTGGAGGCTGCACATATTATTCCTGAAGGCTGACTGCCCTCTCTTTCTGTCTATCTCTCTCTCTGCATCTCTCTTTCTCTCTCTCTGTCTCTCTCTCTCTCTGTCTCTCTCTCTCAGTTCAAGTCATATTTCAAAACACAGATGCTCAGTTAAGAATCTATCCCATCTATCCACCCTTTAGTAAACTGATTAATCTATTTATCCACTCCCACCAGTCATCCACACTCATCTACCTCCTTTCCCACCTAGCCATTTATCATCCACCCATCCACCCGCTCTCTCACCTAGGCAGCTGTGCGGGCAGCCATCTGTCCACCTATCACCCATCCATCTCCCCACCCGTAGATCTCTTCACTCACTCTTGCACCCATCAACTCACCCATGTACTCACCCTCGTACCCACCCATCGCGTGCAGACAGGCATCCGTTGTTTAGGTGTGTGACGAGCACTGGTTATGCGCTGGGCATTGCTGTCGGACTCGAAGAAACACAGGCGGCTCTAGCCGTGGCTCTTGGACTTGGCTTCAGGCTTTGGTCACCTGCATTTTAATTTTACGTTGGTTAATTTTTACGATGTTGGCTTGTCTTATTTAGGGTTTTATTACTGGGAAGAGACACCATGACCATGGCAACTCTTATAAAGGAAAACAGTTGATTGGGGCTGACTTGCAGGTCAGAGGTTTAGTCCATTACCATCATGGCGGGAAGCATGGTGGCATCGCAGGCAGACATGGTGCTGGAGAAGGAGCTGAGAGTTCTACAGCTGGATCAGCAGGCAGCAGGAAGAGAGAGAGAGAAAATCACTAGGCCTGGTTTGAGTATCTGAGACCTCAAATTCCATCCCCACAGTGACACACTTCCCCCAACAAGGCCACACCTACTTCAATAAGGCCACATCTAAGAGTACCACTCCCTATGGGCCTATGGGGGCCATTTTTTTTATTCAAACCACCACATGGGTGAACAGGGTTTTAAAAAGCTTTAGACAGACAACTTAGTTGTTTCTGGTCCTGCCCTGAAATCAACGCATGGGAAACTCTAGAGTTCCCCTGGAATGAGTCCCAAGTCTGCTGTGCTGCTGGGCGCTGCTGTGCTGCTGGGTACAGTTGTGCTGCTGGCCTGAGCTCCTTCCCAGTGGCGGAGGAGTCATGGAGCCTTCTCTCTGACTCCAATTGTTTATTTTGACAACTGCTGCATGAGACCTGGTGTCTATGCTGTGTTCTTTTCTTCTGTTGCCAGAGTCTCAAATAGTCTGTGTTGTGGTTCTTGTCTATCTTTCCTTTACGCCAACCCGCCCCCGTTCCCACCCAGCCTTTATCCACTATAGTGGGAGAAAGTCTCTATTTGAGAGACTAGCCACCCATAATGGCCTTGGACATTAATTAGGGAACATTCCTAGAAGTGGCCCAGATGACAAACCCTGGGGATTACACCACAATTTCACATTTTTTAATCATTTCATGACCCCGCAGAACCAGGCAAGGGCTCCAATGACTGTGAACACTAAAGAGAGACGGCCAGATGTTATCTGCTTCTGAGGAAGGTGTACACCACACTAAAAACACTCTGGCCCTGTGTTGTTTGTATGAGATGAAACCTCTGTCCTGGACCACAGCACCATACAGAGCTCACAGAAATATATACGGCCATGACATCAGAGAGAGGTCCCCAGCAAGAGGCTGGGGCACAAGAAACCCGATGTCTTCATACATGGGCTGGAAAGAATAATGCCAGGTGTGGCGGCACACGCCTTTATTCCCAGCTCTCGGGAGGCAGAGGCAGGCGGAGGCAAGTGGATCTCTGTGAGTTCGAGGTGAGCCTGGTCTACAGGTTCCAGGACAGCCAAGGTGGTCACACAGAGGAACTGGGTCTTGAAAAGAAAAAGAAAAAGAAAAGGAGAGGAAAGGAAAGGAAAGGAAAGGAAAGGAAAGGAAAGGAAAGGAAAGGAAAGGAAAGAAAAGAAAAGGAAAGGAAAGAAAAGGAAAGGAAAGGAAGAGAGCACAGGGGCCTGTGGAGGTTTCCTTCGGGAGCTTGGGGGTTTCTGTGAGAGTCAGCACTGGGCACACAGCTCCTGCAGTCTGCTGTTCTGATGTGTGCCTGGAAGCTGCTGTCATTACCACCATGCAGGGCGTCTATGTTTTTGCTATGGAGCTGGGTTCTGAGGCCTCAGAGATGAGGTCCTCAAGATACAGATATCCCCCTCCCCGACCCTGCTTCTTCCCTTCTCTTTCTCCCTCCCTCCATTCCTTCCTCCATCTTGTCTGATGGAGTCTTACTGTGTAGACCAGACAGGTCTCAAGTTTGGCATTCTCCAGCCTCAGCTTTTGGCACGCTGGGATTGTAGGTGTGCTTTTCCATTCCTGGTCCTGGGAAGATTACCCCCTTACATAACATTGGAAAACAGGATTTGAGGAAAGGGGGCTGTTGAGTCTTGGGAAGAATAAGGAAGAAAGCTGCCCTTGCTTGGGTCTGGGAGGTCGGGGCTGTTGATAAATGAGGGTGACTTTTATTTTTAAATCCCTCTCTTTAATCCAGCTTTAATCCAGGGACAATCAAAGGTGCCCAGGTGCTTTTAACCTCTCTTGGGTGCTTGGAATCAGTTTGTAAGCAGTGAGAAACCAGATGTGAGCAAATTAGGGTAAAGAGCCTGTGTGGTGCTGGTGGAGACCACTGTGGTGAGGGTCCACAGCCCCTTGTCATGCAGCCTACAGTTTCCCAGAGGGCGCTCTGCTTGAGGTGTCTGCATTCTGTCTAGGAAGCAGGTCCCCACTGTGTGTGTGTGTGTGTGTGTGTGTGTGTGTGTGTGTGTGTGTGCGTGTTGGACTCTGCTGAGGTTTTCCACCCATCTCTGTCTGTCTTGATTGTTCACAGGCCATGGCGCAAGCTGGTGGACTGCCGCAGGCCAGCACTACTTCTGGCCAGCCCTACGTGAGCAAGTTGGTTCTGCTTGGAAGCAGCTCTGTGGGCAAGACCAGCCTGGTCCTTCGCTACATAAAGCAAGACTTCAACAGCGTCTTGCCAACTGTGGGGTGTAAGTGAGGAGAGCCCTGGTAGGGGCAGATGGGAATGCGGTCTGCCTCAGGATGGTCCCTGTCCTGAAACCCGAGGCTGGGTGTGCCAGGATTGCAGGGAGGAGCTGGCCGTCCATCAAGGGAAGACAGGCACATTATTCTGGAAGTGTATGTAAACAGCCTCCACTAGCGGTCTAGTGTCAGCCCAGCTGGCATTTGTGTGTGGAGTTCCAGGGGCAGAGGTTCTGGTCCCAGAAGGCTTGAGTATGGGGCACTGGCAGTGAGGGTAGCCCGAGGAAGGTCACCTTCCTGGCTGCCCTCCAGCCAGCTCATGAAGCTCTCTAATTAATTTACTCTATGGAGAGCTGCTCTATGCCCGCCATCATGTACCCAAGCTTCCCTCAGCTTTTCCTGATTCCCACGGCATCCTTCGAATTGCAGTTCTACCATCACACTGCCTATATCATTCATCAGCATCAAAGACTTGGATTTGGTCCACTAGGTTTGGGCTGGGGCTGGGGATGCTGTGAAGGAAAGAGAGGGAAAACCTCTCTGTGTGCTCGCTGTATGTATGTATGTATGTATGCATGTATGCATGCATGCATGTATGTATGTGAGACAATGTCTCACTATGTAGCTCAGGCTGTCCTGGAACTCTCCATCCTCAGGTTTCTTCCCATGGGCTGTGATGATAAGTGTGTGGCATGTTTTAATTTGGAGCCAGGACAGATTAGAGAGCAACCTCCACCTCAATCCCGCAAATTTTGTTTTTCAATACCCAATAGGGTTTTCTTAGCTTCCTAAGTGGATGGTCCTGCCTCCAGAAGCTCAGTCAGAAAGAATGAGCTATGGTGTGATCAGGGGTTGGGGTGGCTAGGGTTAGAGTGCATAGGGTTGGGGTGGATAGAGCCTTGTGCTTAGCTCTCTCCTGGGGCTGAATTGAAGGACTGCCTTGTACAGATGACACTGACCATGAGCTAACTTTCCAGCCCTGAAAATTAGTTTCTGAAAGCCACCTTGCCAGTCCTTAGAAAGCCAGGGCAAAGCTAAGTGACCCTCTAGCTGCCTTTGCTTTCAGCTACTGACATTAGCTGATGTTGAAATTGACTGGCTTTTGAGGTCGCATGCTGGGCACTACGCTGCGTCTTGCACTAGCTTTGCTGCACTTCTGACGCCTGTGGGCTGTGAGCAACAGTGGCCAGGAGCTGTGAGTCTGCTTATGCCCACCCCTGACAGCTTCATCTCTAATTCCTTTCCCTTTCGCTGAGTCACTCTGCTTAAAATAAATAAATAAATACAATACATACAGGGCTGGAGAGATGGCTCAGCGGTTAAGAGTGCTGGCTGCTCTTCCAGGGGTCCTGAGCTCAATTCCCAGCACCCACATGGCAGCTCACAATCTGATGCCCTTTCCTGGTCTGCAGGCACACATGCGCCTGTATACATTTTAAAAAAGGACATAGAGTATTTGAAATTTCTTCTTGGAGAATTTCATCCCCCAGCCCAACCCCACCCACCCACTCCCCCTTTCAGCTCCTCCAGAAACCCCGCACCGCATCCTAACTTCATGACCTCTTTCCCCCTTTCTTTTGGGTAGCTCCCCGAGTTTAGTTAGAGTTGTCTTTAAGCGCATGGGTGTAGGACCATCTACTGGAGAATGGGCACTTCATCAGGGGCCACATCCCTGAAGAAAACCTTTCTCCTTCCCCCAGAATTTTCAATTGACAATAGCTCTTCAGCGAGAGGGGAAGGCCTCCTGAGCATCTCCAATCATGCCGGGATGTTGACTATCTTCATCTTACGGAAGCAATCACAGCCTTTGTGACTTCATGGTGCAAAATGGCCCTGCCGTGACCAAGAGACACTGTTTCAAGGGCCTTCTTCCCTAAGCTCTGGCTCTTTCAATCTTTCCACCTGCTCTTCTCTGGTGGGTGTTCCCTGGGTCCTGGGGGAGAGGTGTGATGCCAATGTCTCATTTAGGGCAGAGCCCTCCACAGTCAGTCACGTTTGCTCCAGTTTGACCAGCAGCAGACCTCTGTATTTACTGGTGTCCACTGATGAGGTTTAAGAGCTGCACTAACCTAGGGGCACAGAGATAACTTCTTTGAAGGCAGCTTGATACTATGTCGGTTCAGCAAAATAATAGCAGTGGGCTGTCTCTTAGAGTCTGGGAGCCTCCAGCCATCTCACCCTGCTCTTTTTATCCCAGAAGTGGCAAGAAGTTTTGACCTCGGTGGACTTGAGACGTAGGTCTTTCCTTTCGTGCTTTATATTTTTTAGTTTATTTTTTATTGATTTTTATTAAGCTCTACATTTTTCTCTGCTCCCCTGCCTTTCTCTCCCCTCCCCTTCAACCCTCTCCCAAGGTCCCCATGCTCCCAATTTACTCAGGAGATCTTGTCTTTTTTCTACTTAATGTTTACTTTGACTGATGAGTCGTATTTCCTCTTTTGTATCTTCAAAACTTGAGATTCTCTCTTCCATCTCTTATAGTCTGCTGTTTATGTTTGCATTTGTGGTTTCTGATCACTTTCTCATGATTTCTGTTTCTACAGTTCCTTCAGCTTGTGTTTTCTTTATTGTCTCTATTTCAGTTTTCAAGTCTTGAATAGTTTCTTTCATATGTTTGATTGCTTTTTTCTTGGTTTTCTTTAAGGGGCTTGCTGATGTCTTCCAATTTTTGTTTGTCTTTTCCTCCATTTCTTTGAGAGAATTTCTTATTTCCTCTTTAAGGGTCTCAAAAATTCTCCTGGAATTATTTTTTTAGGTCATTTTCTTCTTCTTCATCTATGGTTCAAGTCTTGTTGTTGTATGGTCTCTAGATTTTACTGGTGTCGTGTTGCTCTGTGTGGTGTTGCGTGTGTCCTTACCTTGTCTACTCATCTTTTTCCTCTAATTGGTGTGGTTGGGGCTGTCTGTGACTCTGGTGATTAATCTTCTAGCTGCCAGTGGATCCAAGGCTCAGATGGTTGTTTCTCGTTGTGCAGTCAGTGCCATGGTTCTAGTTACCCCGTTGGTCATTCTGTGTTCCTGGAGGTTGTTCGGTGCTCCTGGGGTTTGCTCTGGTCTAGGTTGCCAGCTCAGACCTGTTTCTGTAAATGTCCCTGGTCTGGATCTGCTCCTGCAGAGGTCCCTGGCTTGGGGTTGGTTCTGCAAAGGTCTCTGGCTCTCATATTCTCCCTCAGAGGTCCCAGACTCACACCTCAACACGCAGAGGTTTCTGGTTCCTGCTTACTCCCTCAGAAGTCCCAGATCAATGCCTGGACCAGCAGAGGTCCTGACTCAGGCCTGTTCCCTCGGAGGTCCCAGATTCCTGCTCAGATCTGCAGAAGTACTGGTTCAGGCCTAGTTCCTAGGAGGTCCCAGACTCACACCCAAACCTTGGCTAAGGTCTACTCTCTCAAAGGTCCCAGATTCATGCCCAGACCTGCAGCAGTCTTTGGCTTTGGCCCACTTGTTCTGGAGTTGCTCCCCTGTACCTGCTCCTGTGGAGTTCACTGACTCAGGCCCACTCTGGCCTAGGTTACTGGCCCTTCATTCTCCATCTTATTTATCTATCCATCCATCCATCCATCCATCCATCCATCCATCCATCCATCTCTCCCCCAAAATGCCCTGCCTCAGGAATTACCAATCTGTGCAGCCAGGTCTGGTGGGTGACACCTCCCATCTCTCCAGGAAGGCTCAGCTCTGTGTTGTGTAAACATCTCAACCCTGGCCATTGGGTTGGCTATAGCTTGGGTGAAAAGTCATGTTTCCCTTGCACATCTGCTGGGATTTGACACTGAGAACTCCCAGCCGTCATGTTAAAGTGCAGAAGGAAAATGGGGCAGACAAAGATTATCAATGGAGAAGGCAGATTTGAGTTTGACACCCATATGTCACTTGGCTCTCCCCGACTCCCTCACTTCCCCTTTCTGTGCGTGTATGTGTAGGATGTGTGTACACATGTGCATAGTATATGTACACATAGAGGCCACAGGAAGATGTCTAGTGTCCTGGTCTGTCACTATACCTTATTATTATCTGTTCCTTGAGAAAGGATCTAGAACCTAGAGCTAGGCTGTCTGTAAGTGGTTCTCATAGCTTCCTGCCCCCCCCACAATGCTGGTATTCCAGGTCTGTGCCTTGATTTTTATGTGGGTGCTGAGAATTGAACTTGGGTCCTCATACTTATGCAGAAGCTGCTCTTACCCACTGAGCTATCTTTCAAGCCTCTGAGACAATGACTATCTGAATATCCCCCTATTGGCTCCAAAGCCAGAAATATGATCTGAAGTGAGAAATAACAGATTAGAGTGTGGACTAAACATCAATGTTGCCGTGGCAACAGTGGGGGGGGTTACAAAAGAAGACAGAAAGAGGAAGTAGAAGTTGCTCCGACAGACCTGACACTGCGTATGTTTTCTCTGAGGGAGGGAAACATAGGTCATGTTAAGCAGGAAGAAAATGAGATATTGGGAGTTTATTATTATTTATAATTTATTTATTATTATATAATTTTATATATAATTATATACATAATTAATTGCAATAATAATTATAATTTATAATATTATAAATATAATTATATTTATTATTTATATTGAGGCCCTTGAAGCTGAGAGGCATCTGTGTCCAAGGCTACCCCAGGCCTTCACCTGCACAGGAGAGCCGGCTACATTGGATAGTCGATGGTCAGCAGTAGCCATGTGAGCTGGGAGTCCCTTGTCCTGTTATCTACTGTGGAGGTTATGGAGGTTGCTGATCTGTGAGAAGAGCAGTTTAGTCAGACCTCAACTTCATGGAGCCTCAGGTTTACAAAGCCTATGCCAATACCTGCTGAGGTGTTACTCTGAATCCCAGAGAGAATCATATCTTTCCAGAAAGTTCTGTCCACTCCTTCTCTTCTCTTTCCAAAGTGGATGGAAAGTGCCCCCAGAGATTACCCAGCCCTAACTCATGAGCCTGTGAATGGTGGTGCCTTCTATGGAGGTGAGAAGACCTTGGACCTGTGTAACATGAGGGGCCGGCTTGTTGGGGTTTCTATACCGCCTGACACCCCAGCAAGTCGGCAAACCCCAAAGAAAATCACACACAGGACTCCATAAGATTATAAACTGATTGGCCCATTAGGTCAGGCTTCTTATTAGTCCTTGTAACTTATATTAATCCATTATCATTATCTATGTTAGCCACACGGCTCAGTACCTTTCTCAGTGTGACAGCTCACATGTTGCCTCTTCGGTGGTCTGGGCAGGAATGGCAGAGGGAGCTTCCTGTTTCCCAGAATATTCCTGTTCTCATCGCCCTGCCTCTACTTCCTGTCTGGTTGACCCACCTATACTTCCTGCCTGGCCAATCAGCGTTTTATTAAAATACATGATTGACAGAATACAGACAGTTCTCCCACACCAGACCTGATCCCCAGTTTCCCTGACTGTCACCCTCAAGAGAAGAGGCAAGGGCACAGGATTACTAGGTAGGGGTGGCCGCTATAGTTTCATTTCTGTTGGGATGAAACACAGATGACGACCAAAAGTAATTTGGAGGGGGCAAGGGTTCATTTGGCTTACCTTTCTAGATCACAATCCATTACTGAAGGAATGCAGGCAGGAACCACGGAGGATGCTGCTTGCTGGCTCGCTCTCTGGCTCTCCTTTAGGCTCATGGTCAGCTTTCTTTTTTTAAATTTACTTTTAATTTATGTTTCTGGTATTTTGACTGCATGTATGTCTGTGTGTGTCACATACATGCAGTGCTCACAGAGGTCAGAAGAGGGTGTTGAAGACCCTGGAACTGGAGTTAGAATGGTTGTTAGCTACCATGAGGATCCTGGGGATCAAGTTCTGGGCCTCTGGAAGAGCAGCCAGTGCTCTTATCCACTTAGCCATCTCTCCAGCCCCTCGACCTGTTTTCTTAGACAGCTCAGACTCTTCTGCTTAGGGATGGTAGCCCTCACAGTGGGCTGGGCCCTCTCATATCAATCACCAAACAAGTCAATTCTTCTGGGCAGTCCTTTATACCAGTCCCCAGGATACTGAGTCACTGTCCTTGGGCTGGAAGTTCCATTTTACCCATGTAGGTCTCTCCGACAGGGTCTCCCCAACTGGCTCCAAATCTACCTTGGGTCTGTGTGGGGAAGCGGCTCTGGGTAAAGCCCTTGGTTTCTGCTGACTCTTCACATCCTGAAGGTTCCCTAATTCCCCTCACCTCTTTCCTTCTACCTCCCCTAGTAGCTCACACACCTGACATAGACAGTTTTGGTACCATTAAATAACAATTTAAAGATCACACCAGGGCAGGGAGGAGGGATCATCACCTACGCATAGACACATAATTAAGAATACAAATTCAATATTGGAAAGCAAAGCTCAAGAAAAAAATATCTTTGAGGAAAAGGTGGATGGCATGTTATGTGAAGGGGTTGGAGTCAGTCTCTGTGGTTGGTTAAGTAGGCACCTGAGTGAGGAAGGTAGGCCCTGGGAGCCTCACAGAGCACGCAAGAGAAGATGGGAGAGCACAGTGAACTCCCTAGGCTGACAGGTGCAGACTTGAGTAACTCATGAGAGAGTGCTAGGCGAGGAAGTGAGGTCAGTGATAGAAGAGCCAGTGAGGGGGTTGGGGGGAAGACTGAAGAGGCTTTCTTCTGGTGACTGAGCATGGCTTCAGAATGTGACAGGTGGCTGAGTGGCCAGTGTGCCTGAAGGACCGAGGCATGAGAATTTTTAAAGTTCAACACATCACTGGACATTATAGAGACATGCCAGGTTTTTCACTGCTGGACATGGATTATGGTCCTGTCATGTCTTTCTTAGTTCAGGGTCTTTTACTTTATCCCAAGGGTTTAGCTCCACCCCAAGAGAAAGCCTATAAGGGACACAAAGCAGCCACCAACTGCACTTTGCTTAGTAGGGAAGCTCTGGTGTGATGTCCGTGCTACTACATGTACTACGGTCCTGTAGCTCCTGTACTGCATGTACTAAGGTACTATGCCTGTGATGTTTTGCAAGTGAGTCAGCAAAGACCTGGAGATTGACACACATACACATAGAGACAGAGACACGGGTCATCCTTGAAACAAGAATGTCCCCTTTATTGTGTTCCTTATAAAGGGATCCTTATAAAGGGATCCTCAGCTGATAGCCACGCCCCAGCCAAACCCTCCAGAAACCATTCCCCTGCCATCAGGAACTCCTGAGGTTCCCATGCTCAGAGCAGCTGCAAACACAGGAAAACAGGTTGCTTTGCTCAGAGCAGCTGCAAGCACAACAAGTTGTTTACAAGACATTCAGGGTCTGGGGGTCCACAGTCCCAACACTCTGGTTTCTGGAACAGACATTCACTCAGTCTCCATCAGCATGTGTCTAGCTGCCTCTCGCTGGGCTGCTGAGCATAGACCACCGCCAGGACATACTGGGAGTCATGGGTGACCACCTTATCCCCAGCAAATGCTCATTGGCCTCCTGGCTGCAGGTGCATTCTTCACGAAGGTGTTGGATGTGGGCTCTTCATCTCTGAAGCTTGAGATCTGGGACACAGCTGGCCAGGAGAAGTACCACAGCGTCTGCCACCTCTATTTCAGGGGTGCCAATGCTGCGCTCTTGGTGTATGACATCACTCGCAAGGTAGGGTTACCTTCCGCCTCCTTCCCCAGGCAACTGCGGGGATTAAAGGCAAGGAAACAGGACTGGAGCCATGTTTTATGGGAGCTACTATATCTACAAAAAGGGACTATTAAGTCTGTACTATTCACCTCATTCAGGAAGTCCTCTCGGCAACCCCTCCCAGGCAAAGTTGGGCTTGGTTTCTCTGCAGTCTCTCGGCACACCCCTTCCCCCACAGTACCACCATTGCTGGTGCTGGTGTGCTGCCATGATGCCAAGAGACTGTTACAGACCCAGTCCACCGCCATAGGCCATCCATACTGTATCACCAGCGGGTGCAAAACACAGAGCATGCGGGAAGATGATACTGAAGTATTAGACTCACATGTCTGTGTGTGTGCAACCTGACCTAGGGCCGGGTGAGCTTGCTGTCCCTGAGACTATAACAGGAGCTAGGGAAGTGGGGACTAGTCATAGCGGGTGGGAGGCAGGAAGACATACTGGGAGAGGGTCTCAGATAAAGCCCTGCAGTGGATCCAGAAAGTGTGTCTTAGGCACTGGTCCAGGAGGGTGGAGGGTTGGGTTCCCACATTAGCCTTGATGCTCGAGGTCAGGAGAAAAGTTCCAGAGGACACAGGGCCAATTTCTCCCACCTAGCCTATGAGGGGCTGCAGTTAGGAACTGGGTTGGGGTGATGACAGTTCCCTCAAACGCTCCTGCACAAAATGGTGTCCAGAGTGGAGTTCCTGACCCCAAATGCCCTGTGCCCTCCACATCCCTGGCTCTCTGGTGTGATGCCTGTTGCACAGCCTTCCCCTACCAGGGCCA